GTCATTACATCCTCCCCCTCTTAAACAAATGTTTGTTCTCGAACGAGTCAAGAAACATACCTGAAGCCTCAAATAGGTATGGATATCTGCTCCGTATATCCTGCTCGGTCTCCCAGGTAGCCTCCTCCACGGGGCGACCTCTCTACTATATTTTCACTGAATCTACATCCTTTGATCTCAACTTTCGGACCTGCCGCTGCAAAATAGCTACTATACTTCCGGAGCGTAGAAACATGAAATACCGGATGCACACTCGATAAGCTAGGTGGAAAGGCCAGCTCATAAGCCACCTCCCCAATCCTTCGAAGCACTTCAAAAGACCCAATGAACCGAGGACTCAATTTACCCTTCTTCCCAAATCTCATAATACTCTTCATGGGTGAAACCTTCAATAGAAACGTCTCCCCAACCATGTAGGATACATCACAAACCTTCCTGTCAGTATAACTCTTTTGTCTTGACTGCGCTGTATGAAACCGCTCCTAAATCACCTTCACCTTGTCCAAAGCATGATGCACCAAGTCTGTACCCAAAAGTCTAGCCTCACCCGACTCAAACAAACCAACTGAAAATCTACACTGTCTCCCATATAAAGCCTCATATGAAGCCATCTGAATAGTCGACTGATAACTGTTTTTATAAGCAAACTCCGCGAGCGGTAGAAACTGATTCCTTGAACCCCTAAAATCAATGACACAAGCGCGCAACATGTCCTCCAATATCTGAATAGTGTGCTCGGACTGCCCGTCCATCTAAGGGTGAAAAGTTATGCTCAACTCAAACTGAGTACCCAACTCTCGCTGCCAGACCCTCCAAAATTGTGAAGTGAACTGAGTACCTCTATCTGAAATGATGGAAACTGGGACACCATGCAAGCAGACAATCTCTTTGATATAAATCTTTGCTAACCGCTCTGAAGAATAGGTAGTAGACGTAGGAATGAAGTGCGCGGACTTGGTCAGCCGATCCACAATCACCCAAATAGCATTGAACTTCTTTAAAGTCCGTGGGAGCCTAACTACAAAGTCCATGGTGATTCGCTCCCACTTCCACTCTAGAATATCTATATGTTGAAGTAAGCCACCCTGTCTCTGATGCTCATATTTTACCTGCTGGCAATTGAGACACCGAGCTACAAATATCATAATATCCTTCTTCATTCTTCTCCACCAATAATGTTGTCTCCAATCTTGATACATCTTCGCGGCACCCAGATGAATGGAATACCGCGAGCTATGGGCCTCCTCCAGAATCAACTCTCAAAGCCCGTCTACATTGGGCACACATATTCGGCCCTGCATCCTCAATACCCCATCATCGCTAATAGTTACATCTCTGGCATCGTCGTGCTGAACTCTGTTTTTAAGGACAAGCAAATGAGGATCATCATACTGGCGCTCTCTAATGCGATCAAACAAGGAAGACAGAGAAACCACATAAGCTAAGACCCGACTGAGCTCCGAAATATCTAACCTCACAAATCGATTGGTGATAGTAGCATATATTATGCGATGTAAATGCTATTTATGCTCGAAATTAACCATACTTTATTGATATTTTAAGTGCTAAATGATAACAAAATACTCTAATTGAGGTTTTTATGCCTTGCAGGAACTACTCCGAGTTAGGAGGAGGATATAGAGTGTTTTGGGGTCAAATGTGTAGATACAAGGCCAATCGAGAAGAGCCCGGATGGAGCAAGAAAAGGCGAAGAAAAATTGGGCAACAGTCCACCGCTACCGCAGTAGGGCCGCGGTTGGAACGCGGTAAAAGAAAGGCGGAAAACAAAAAGTCTAAAATTACTGCAGTTGGCCCGTGACCGCGGTCGATCTGGAGAAGGCCAAGAAAGTTTAAGGGCTAAAGTGTAAAGCGTGGAAAACTTATCCTAACCCTATATAAACTTAACAAACTCACACAAGTCAATGTTAAGCTTATTTTTAGACTCAATCGGAGGCAAGAACAAGTGTGAGAAGATCAAGACACCATTAGAGTTTTTTATTCTTCTTCTTGTTATCATTATTTTGTGAATTATGAATTATCTTATGGCTTTATCTCGTTTTACCATGAGTATCTAAACATTTAATCTAGGGTTGATGGAATCAATTGTTAGATGAAGTTTTGACTCAGTTTTGTTATAATCGAGCCGAGTTTATTATAATTGTTCAACTATGTTTTGTGTGGTGATTAATTGAATGGACCCTTGATTAATCGTGTCTAATCGCCTTGTGTTGCTTAAGAAAGAATACTAGGTTAGATCGTTGTTGAACAACACCACTTTGGGGTAATTGAAGAGATTCATTATTTGAATTTAAAAGTGGGGTTAGAAATAACAAAACTTTGGTGGGATAATTCAGAGCTGCATATATTATTAGCTAGAATAGTTCGAGAGAATGCTCTAGTAAATTATCGTAGTTGATCGAGAGATAGTTGCAGTAACACATAGCTCTTAATCCTGATAGAGTATTACATCGAGATTATAGCAAAAGAGTTAAGGATTAATCTAGCAATTGGGGAAATCAATACCCTAGATCTCTTTACTATTGAATTATCTTTAATTTGGAATATTGTTAGTTTTAGTATCATTTTACTTTAGTTAAACAAATCCCAATATTTATTGATAAAAATCTTACATTAGGGAATTGTTTAAACTTGTACTAGCATCACTAAGAGTTGTAATAGATAGGTTAGTTCCCTGAGGATTCGACTCCGGACTTGTAAACCGAATTATATTTGCAACGACCGCTTTGTCTTTATTAAGGAATAGTTGGGCGTGATCAAATTTTGGCGTCATTGCCTGGAAACTAACGGTGTAGTTGTAGGTGTATATATTGCTAGGTTACAAGTTTGAACTTTTATTTTTATTTTGTTTTATATGATTTTTTTATTTATTTTTGTTTTACTTGTTAATTGAGAAACATGACATCTAGGAATTATGGAAATTTTGATGTTGGCAATTCTGCTTTTAATCCTCCTTATGCATATTGTGAAGAAAATCACCCATGACAAAATTATCAAAATATTCCCAAGAGTGAGTTATGTGCACCAACTCAATCTTATGTATGGAATGTATGTGATATGTGTGGTGGTCAAGATGGTCACTTTTATGGTTGTGCTTATATTTCTTATCTTCCCCCAACCCTTTACTTTGATGGTTCTTCTTTTTCTTGTGAAGTTAATAGAAATAAAGAACCTAGGGATGATGACCTGGAAGAGATCAAGGATATGCTAAGATGCCTTGTGGAACAAAATAATGAGAAACAACTTCACATACAAAGTCAAGATGCTGCTATTCGCAACCTGCAGGCACAAGTGAGTCAACTAGTTGAGGTAGTTAATGCTCAACAAGCCAATATTATGGATAGTAGCCAAGAAGAGCATGGATTAGATGCCGAAATTGAGGTGCAAATGGATGAGGTCAGAGTAGAAAAACAATAATCTAACCAACTAGAATTTGAGGATGTCGATGAAGTGAGACTATAGTCAGCCAAGGACATTGAGGATATAAATTTTGTTGACTCTAGTATCATTGATGTTGAGGATGCTAGAAGTCCTGAAGTTCATGTTTGTGAGCGCATTGGTCCACACTCTAAATATTTTCCCCATTGTGTTTGGATGATGATATGGAAATAGGTCATCCGAACCAATTGAAGAGTCAAGGGATAAGGAACAAGGTGCATATATTTTGGAATTCTTCTTGCCAGAAAGTCAGGATTACATACCTCATACAAAGGCCAAGGGGTGCAGAATACTACATTATTTCCTTGGGCCAGTTAGATTCATTCCACTGCCCCAAGAGCATAATCATAAGCTTGAAGCAAAACTTGGGGTTCAATTCATAAGCTCGAGGTGGAGACAAAAAGTGATTCATGTCGTGCTGCAACGTTAAATCAAGCGTTTATTGGGAGGCAACCCAACTTTACTGCTTTTTATTTCATTTTATTTTTTTAATTGTATTATTTTGTAGTGTTAGACAAGGGGGTTGCTCTAATGGTAAGCAACCTCCACTTCCAACCAAGAGGTTGTGAGTTCGAGTCACCCCAAGAGCAAGGTGGAGAGTTCTTGGAGGAAGGATGCCGAGAGTCTATTTTGAAAATAGCCTCTCTACCCCAGGGTAGGGGTAAGGTCTGCATACACACTACCCTCCCCAGACCTCACTAGTGGGATTATACTGAGTTGTTGTTGTTGTTGTTGTTGTTGTTGTTGTTATTTTTGTAGTGTCAATTTTTGATATTCTAGGAACATGGAAATCAAAGCGGATGCAACAACAAACCAAATTATTGGAACTAAGTGTGAGGTACCCGCACGAAGGACCAAGCTTGGGAGAAGTCTGAGTACCCTATGAGCTGTTAGTGCTTCGGCCTTTGGCCTACCAGGGAGTCTCTTTTACCCTTTTATTAGTTATAGTGTGCATTGGGGACAATGCACGGGTGACTTTCTTTGCTATTTTAGTTGTGTTAGTTTAATTGAATTTTTTTTTGGTGTGGCTAAAAAAAAAGATTTTTTTCTATTAGGTAGTGTATCAACTCCCCTTGGTTTTTTTTAAACTACGGTTCTTTTCCAAGGGTTTCCATTTGAACCGGGTGTAGTTACTTTTTCCTTTTTTTTAGTTTAGGAATTCTTGGGCAAAGAAGAATAGAGATTGCTTTAATGTGACACTTAGGCTCATTAGTTGACTCTAGCAATAAAACCTTAAATTGTGTGTTCTTGAGTTGGCTTAAGCACCTTTAGTAGAGTGTCTGATGGTCCTAACTGAATTGAGTCATGTGCCATGTGTGCGTGAGGCTTTGTGTATTCTATGCTAACATTCAATGCCTAGAACTTACCATGTGTGTGTACGAAGCGAAATGGTAGTCTTAATTGGTCTGGAAAGTGATATCGGCGTTTCTTTGTTGAACCTATCTATATATGTTTTCACCCACCTGATTGTGTATATCCTAGTTAACCCCTTTGAGTCTGTAATCTTGTTCTTTTGGCAACCACATTACAAGCCTTACCCAAGTTGTGAATTGTCTATCTTTTTGAACCCTATCACCTCTTAGAAGCACTTAATTGTAATCAATATGGAAAAGTTAAAGTGTGGGGTGGTCGGTTGGGCTTTTGAGTGGAGCTAATGAAATAAGGAGAAATGTGCACTGTGTTGAAAAAAATAAGAGCCACTTGAATTGAAAAAAAATAAATTTCCTTGCTAAGTGGTGACTCTTGATGTAAGTGCGCTTAAAGAAATAGGGGATTTAACTCAATGATGTGAAGGTGGAATGAAGGTTTGACAAAGGTATGAACTACTAGAAAATGGGACTATGGCAAAAGTTTTTTTGGCAACGTTTAGAGAACCGTTGCCATAGGATATCTATCGCAACGGTTACAACCGTTGCAATATGCTTTGGATGCTATCGGTACATTTTAGCTATCGAACCGTTCCAATTGGTTTTTAACCGTTTCCATAGGGCATTTTTTTGGCAACAGTGTTTTAACCGTCCCAATAGAGCTATCTTTGGCCACGGTTTTTGAGAAAATAAAGCTATTGCAACGGATAGTAATTCCCTCCTAACTTTTTTCCCAAAATTTTCCGAAACCCGCCAAAACTAATAGTATAATATATCAATATAAAATTTTTCCGCTTTTCCCAATAAACACAAGAGCCCCAAATTTCTCAAAGGCAAAAATCCCTAGTCGATAACATCTATACCCACAAAATTTCCCTTAGGCAAAGAAACATCCCTAATAGATAACTATGTTGCCAAATTTTTTCTTTCTAATTCTTTGCTCCTTCTCGCACTTTGTGATCCCTTTGCAAGATAGCGTTCCTCCCAAACTTTAATTTCCAGGTTTTTTTCTCTTCCTCCACAACTATGCTCTCCGACGCACTCTTCAATTTGTTCGTTTTTAGTATGTGTTACTTTTTGCCTGTAGTAAATTAGTGTTTGAATGCGATAGTTTTACAGCTTCTTCTACTTGATTTCAATTTTATTATGAATTTGTGTTTGCTTTATCCAAGCATTTAGGGTAGAGAAGTGAAAAGTTGTTTCCTTTTTCTTCTTCAGTATTTTAGATCTTTTTTTGGGTATTCTTTCAAAGATTTTTGGGCATCTACTCTTGCCACTGTATCTTAAAACTGAAAGCTATATTACCAATTTGATATACTTGCCTGATGGAAGTAACTAGATTCCATATTATTGTCTGTTATAATTCGGTGTAGATTAATTGATAGTCGTATTGTCATAATTTAATTTGGCTGTAATTATTGGCCTGCTTGTAGGGTTCCTAACAAATGTTTATGTAGCTTTATGTATTAAGCTTCAGTTTCTTTTGGAGTGATAATGCTTACTAAGTAAATTGTCGAAGAAGATGTAACAAGGAGCAAAACACAAAAGAATAAAAATAAGAGAGTAGAATATAGCTTGAAAATGTTAAAGCGATGTGGAAATTTTCTATTTTTATGGATGCCGGTGCTTTTCGCAATTGGACATGATGCATTTCTTTTGGGGTGATGGTTGTGCAATAAGTATAGTGTATAGATCTCAAGAAACTCTAAAATGCTTCAAAACTATCATTTTAATCCAAATTCATCTACTAAATGTTGCTCCTGAAACTTTGATTGATCAGTCAGAGTGTTCTTAAATGTCATTGATCTTTCTGGATTTTCTATGGGAGACAGAAAAGGAAAAAGGTCAAATAGGACTGAATTATTGTTTGAATTGCTCGTTTCATACTAAGAAACAAAAATGCTTTTCATTTTATATTAAATAAATAAAAAAGACCAGTTTTATGGTTTATGTTCTTTTTATTTTGTAATACATTTTGATTTACACTTTTTTTGATTTTAACATCTCACTTTGCCCGTTAATGAATTATTTTTATTATAACTTTTTGGAGAAAGATGCTATACAAGATATATTGAAAACCACTAGATTCTAAGGCTATTTTTGGTTTATATGCCCTTAGCTTGTTTCAATGATCATTGCTCATTTTTTAAGTTTTGTACACATCCAAACACTGACATACCAAAAAAGGAAAAAAAAAACAAGCAGAGTAATAATAGTAGTATTAGTAGCAGTAGAGACAAACGTTCAAAAAAATCACAACTTACAAAAGAGCTTTCTACCATTGTAAGCTCTTATCTGTTACTAACAGATTCATGACTTGAATAAAGAAACTAAGACGACAAATAGAAAATAATTATGTATAAACTGTCATAGAGATATAGACTGAGATGAGAAAATATGTTGGTTGACAAAAGTTATCTCATATCGATATGGAAAACCAGCTTTTAATATTTAATTTAGCAGTCCAAATAGTTTCTTATATGATCAGGTACCTTTACTACTAATATAAACAGTCATTATTTTGATCGTCGTAGTATCAGTTCAATTGGCTGGGTATAAAAGGCTTTATATGGAGATATAATTAGTAAAATTGTATGACGTTTCTAATTTAAAGTCTATCTATATCATTTCTTTGATCTTAATCATTGATTCAATTTCATATACTTGAACTATCTTCTCTTGAATTTGGTTTGTAGGCTGAAATAAAAAAGATACAATCAACACAACAAAGTGAAGATATCGGTCAATTAGTTGATACATTTGCATTCGTCATAAGACCTGAGCATCCATGCCGCGTAAGATTGTATGGATGTGGGGTTTCCAAGGCTGCCTTAAAAAAAGTGGGAGATATTGGACTCTTTTAAGTTCTACTGATGAGATGATGTAGCAAAAAGTAGAAGAAATAGAATATAAGATTCATCAAAGAATGCAAGAAAAGTTCAATGCACAAAAGGATGCTATGGAAAGAGAATTACAATTAACGTCGTCGCACAACTTCAGCGTCTGAGCCCAGAATGATCCTAACATGTTCGCTTTTAGTGCTCGTTCACCTGGATAAACTTACTCTGCACAACAAGTTGCTATTCAACTAATCAATCTTCTATCTACCGGTAGTAACGATCTGGTTAGTACTTACTCAAAATGTTAAACTGTGACGACCCAACCCGTCGTCTCATGAGTTACCGCTTCATTTTTCCCATTTTCAGCTTCTTTATGCTTCATTATCTGTAATTGGTGTGATCGAGTCGATTTGGATTGGTTTTGGTAGTAAATGAGACACTTAGTCTCTTTAAGGAAGGCTTAGTTTGGAAAGGTCAATCGGATGTTGACTTATGAGTTAGAGGGCTCGAATGTGATTTTCGGTGATTCGGTTAGCTTCGGGGGATAATTTGTGACTTAAGAGCGTGATCGGAAGTGGTTTTGGAGGTCCGGTGTAGAAATTAGCTTGTTTTGACGAAGTTAGTACTTTGGCGATTTCCGTTTGGTAGGTGAGATTTTGATTCGAGGGTCGGAACGGAATTCCGAGAGTTACATTAGCTTGTTAGGTGATTTGGGATGTGTGTGTGTAAAATTTCAGGTCGTTCGGAGGTGATTTGGTCTGGTTTTTGATGGAATGCGTATTTCAGAAGTTTTAGAAGAACTTAGGCTTGAATTCGATGTGAATTGACGGTTTTGGTGTTGTTCGAGGTGATTTGATGATTAAAACAAGTTTGAATGATGATTTAAGATGCGTTGGTGCATTTGGTTGAGGTCTCGGGGGCCTCGGGGTGGTTTCGGATGGCTAACGGGAAGAGTTTGGACTTGTGTTGTTGAAGATTTTCTGGTGCTTCAGGTATTTTCGCACCTGCGGTTTGGGGACCGCAAGTGCGGTGTCGCAGATGCGGGTTGGGGGTCGCAGAAGCGGAAAAGGCAAGGATTGGCTGGGACCGCAGATGCGGATAGGGAGCCGCAGATACGGCTATTGGACCGCAGAATCGGCTATTTGACCGCAGATATGGTTATGGCTGGGCAGAAGGTATTTAAGTTCTTCTTCGTGAATTTTGAAGGGTTTCACATTTCTAACTTTAGACTTGGAGAATTTTGGACGATTTTGAAGAGGGATTTCAAGGAGCTTCGATAAGGTAAAGATTTTTGGACCTAAAACACAATCCTATGGTGTTATTACATGAATTAAGATTAGAAATTTAAGAAAATCATGGACTAAAAATGGAGGTTAGGGCTTGAACTTAAGAGAGCTAAGATTAGGGATTTGAGGGGTCAATTGAACTTCATTCTTGTGATTTTTATATGTATGAACTCGTGACGAGATAAGGAATCTAATGATGTAAAAATTTCTGAGTTTCGAGAAGTGGGCCCGGGGCTCGGGTTTTGCCAATTTCGGGATTTTTTATATTTTTCGATTGTTTTTGATTGGGTATTGTTCCCATAGTCTATTGTGACGTATTCATTGTGGTTTTGGTTAGATTCGACGCGCGAGGAGGCCAATTTGAGAGACAAGGGCATAGCGAGCTAGAGTTTTGGCCAGCTTGAGGTGAGTAATGATTATAAATGATGTCCTGAGGGTTTGAAACCCCGGATTGCACATCGTAGTGCTATATTGAGGCAAGATACGCGCTGGATGATGAGCGCGGGGTCTTTTATTACTGGGGATTGTGACTTGGTCCGTACTAATTGATGATTTTACCGCGTATTTGACTGAAATTCATTTGTTATCATCATGATTTGGGTTGATTGCCATATTTGGGCTTTGTGCCAACTATTTGAACTCTTCTGGGATTTTTATCATTGTTTCCTCACTGCTTGACTTATTATTTGAACTCAGTCCTGTTGATATCTACTGTTTTACAAACTCAGCCACTTTTACTCAGATTTGAAACTTAAATGATATTTCTACATCATGTTTTGGGCTGAGAACTAATGTTTTACTAATGCCCAAGGGGCTTGTGATGATTTTTGGACTGAGTGAGGCCGAGAGCCATATGTGAGGATATGCTGAGTGATATGAGGTCGAGGGCCTAAGATACTTTATATGCCACGAGGTGGCTTGAATGATGTGAGGCCGAGTGCTGAGTGATGTGAGGCCGAGTGCCGAGTGATGATGCCACGAGGTGGCTTGAATGATGTGAGGCCGAGTGCTGAGTGATGTGAGGCCGAGTGCCGAGTGATGATGCCACGAGGTGGCTTGATATAGCGCTTGGGCCGTAAGGGGCCCCTCTAGAGTCTGCACACCCACAGTGAGTGCGGGTACCCATTATGATCTGAGAGTGAGTCTGAGGGCCTGATATTGTTCTAAGTGATTGATACTGAGCCCGAGGGGCTGATACTGTACTGAGAGTAAGCCCGAAGGGCTGATACTGTTCGGAGCGATTGATACTGTGCCCGAGGGACGCTACCACAGCAGCAACTACTTCACAGGCTGGGAGAGGCAATCAGACCCCTGCTGCTCGCACACCTAAGCAGGTAGTGCAGATGCCGGGAGCACCTCCAGCTCAGCCGATTACACCAGTTTAGGAGTTCGTAGTTCCAGTTATGCCAGACGATGAGCAGCGTTGTCTCGAGAGGTTTGGTAGGCTCCAGCCTCTTTCATTCAGTGGTGCTGAGGGCGAGGATGCCCAAGGTTTTCTCGACAAGTGTCAGTGGATGCTCCGTACGACAGGGATTCTTGAGTCTAGTGGTGTGACATTTACCACCTTTCAGTTCACTGGGGCTGCCTTCACTTGGTGGGAGGCGTATGAGAGTCGTAGGCCGACAGGTGCAACGCCTTTGACTTGGCAGGAGTTCTCCACTCTCTTCTTGGAGAGGTATGTACCGCAGTCCCGCAAGGAGGAGCTACGTAGGCAGTTTGAGTGGCTTCGGCAAAGGGATATGACTGTGTCACAGTATAAGTTGAGGTTTTCCGAGTTGGCTCGTCATGCCATTTGGATGGTCCCGACAGATCATGAGAGGATCAAGAGGTTTGTGGATGACCTTAACTATCATCTCTGTATTCTGATGAATAGAGAGAGAGTATTGGGTATTTCATTTGAGGAGGTGGTTGATATCGCTTGTGAGATTGAGACGGCTCGCTGGCAGGATAGAGAGGAGAGGGAGGCCAAGAGGCCTCGAGGTTCTGGCAGTTTCAGTGGTGCTCTGTCTAGGGGCCAGTTCCAGCATGGTAGAGGCCGTTCTTTCAGGTCCGCTGAGTCAGCCCGTCCCGAGTATCGTGGGGCATCTTCAGGCCGTGGTTATCATGGTTCTCAGTAGGGTCAGCCCTCACTCAGCGCCCTTCTAGCTCAAAGTTTATCTTTTGCCCCATCTGTTCAGGGTTCTTCCATGCCGAGTGGATCAGCTAGTCACTCCGGTGCGAGGGATTCCCTTCAGTCCCATTCTCCAGCACCTGGGAGTTGTTTTGAGTGGGGAGAGTTTGGATGGTGTGGAGGCAATGTCCTCGTCGTATTGCTAGTTCGTCTCAGCAAAGGGGTCAGCCCTCGACTTCTGCTCCAGTTACCTCACCACCCGCCCAACCAGCTAGGGGTGGAGGTTAGGCAGCCAGCGGTCGCCCCAGAGGGGGAGGTCGATCAGGGGGCGGTCAAGCCCGTTTCTATGCACTTCCAGGCAGGCCAGATGCTATTGCTTCAGATGCTGTCATTACAGGTATTGTTTCAGTCTGCCACAGAGATGCCTCTGTATTATTTGATCCCGGTTCCACCTTTTCTTATGTGTCATCATACTTTGCTTGTTATTTGGGTATGCCCCATGAGTTTCTTGCCTTACCTGTTCATGTATCTACCCCGGTGGGTGATACTGTTATTGCAGACTGTGTGTACCGATCATGTGTGGTGACTATTGGGGGTCTGGAGACCCGAGTAGATTTATTGCTATTGAGCATGGTGGATTTTGATGTCATTTTGGGCATGGATTGGTTGTCTCCGTGTCGTGCTATTTTAGACTGTCATGCTAAGACAGTCACTTTGGCTATGCTGGGTGTACTGAGGATCGAGTGGCGTGGTGTGACTGATTACGTTCCTAGTAGAGTGTTTTCTTTCTTGAAGGCCCAGCATATGGTTGGGAAGGGTTGTCTTTCATATTTGGCGTTTGTGAGGGATGTTGGAGCTGAGACTCCTAGCATTGATTCTGTTCCAGTTGTGAGGGAGTTTTCCGATGTATTTCCTGCAGACCTATCGGGCATGCCACCGGACAAGGATATTGATTTTGGTATTGACCTGGTGCCGGGTATTCAGCCCATTTCCATTCCGCCATATCGTATTGCACCAACAAAGTTGAAAGAGTTGAAGGATCAGCTTTAAGAACTCCTAGATAAGGGGTTCATTCGGCCTAGTGTGTCACCTTGGGGTACACCGGTTTTGTTTATGAAGAAGAAGGATGTCACGATAAGAATGTGCATTGATTATAAGCAATAGAACAAAGTAACCATTGAGAGTTGTATTGCATAGATTGATGGAGGAGAACCTTTGTGCAAAATTCTCCAAGTGTGAGTTTTGGCTCAGTTCAATGGCTTTCTTGGGGCACGTGGTGTCCAGCGAGGGTATTCAGGTTGATACAAAGAAGATAGAGGTGGTTCAGAGTTGGCCTAGACCGTCCTCAGCCACAGAGATTAGTAGCTTTCTTGGGTTGGCAGGCTATTATTGCCGGTTTGTTTCATTTGTATGGTCGGACGAGTGTGAGGAGAGCTTTTAGAAGCTTAAGATAGCTTTGACCACAACTCCAGTATTGGTTTTGCCATCAGCTTTAGGTTCTTACACAGTGTATTGTGAGGCTTCGAGAGTTGGGATTGGGTGTGTATTGATGCAGGAGGGTAGGGTGATTGCTTATTCTCCTTGTCAGTTGAAGCCCCATGAGAAGAACTACCCTATTCACGATCTGAAGTTGGCTGCCATAGTTCATGCATTGAAGATTTGGAGTCACTACTTGTATGGCGTATCTTGTGAGGTATTCACTAATCATCGCAGTCTTCAGCATTTGTTCAAGCAAAAGGACCTTAATTTGAGGAAGCGGAGGTGGCTAAAGTTGCTAAAGGATTATGATATTACTATTCTGTATCATCCAGGAAAGGCCAATGTAGTGGCCGATGCTTTGAGCTGAAAGACAGCGAGTATGGAGAGTTTGACGTATATTCCAGTTAGGGAGAGGCCCCTTGTAGTTGATGTTCAGGCTTTGGCCAATCGGTTTGTGAGATTAAACATTTCGGAGCCCAGCCGGGTGTTGGCTTGTGTGGTTTCTCGGTCTTTCTTATATGATCGCATCGGAGAGTGCTAGTATGATGATTCGCATTTTCTTGTCCTTAAGGACAAAGTCCAGCATGATAATGCCAGAGATGTGACCATAGGTGATGATGGCGTGTTGAGAATGCAGGGCCAGATCTGTGTGCCCAATGTGGATGGGTTTAGGGAGTTGATTCTGGAGGAGGCCCATAGCTCGCGGTACTCTATTCATCCGGGTGCCACAAAGATGTATCAGGACTTGAGGCAGCACTATTGGTGGAGAAGAATGAAGAAGGATATTGTGGGGTATGTATCTCGGTGTCTCAATTGTCAGCAGGTGAAATATGAGCATCAGAGACCGGGTGGCTTGCTTCAGCAGATGGTTATTCCCGAGTTGAAGTGGGAGAGAGTCACTATGGATTTTGTGAGTGGTCTTCCTCGGACTTTGAAGAAGTTCGATGCTATTTGGGTGGTTGTGGATCGGCTGACCAAGTCCGTGCACTTCATTCCAGTGTGTACTACCTATTCTTCGGAGCGGCTGACAGGGATCTTTATATGAGAGATTGTTCGATTGCATGGTGTGCCAGTGTCTATTATTTCAGATAGAGGTACTCAATTTACTTCTCAATTTTGGAGGACTTTTCAGCGAGAGTTGGGTACTCAGGTGGAGTTGAGCACAACATTTCATCCGCACACGAACGGGCAGTCCGAGCGTACTATTCAGATATTTGAGGACATGTTGCGTGCCTGTGTTATTAATTTCGGAGGTTCTTGGGATGAGTTTTTGTCGCTTGCAGAGTTTGCCTACAACAACAGCTATCAGTCCAGTATTTAGATGGCCCCGTATGAGGCATTATATGGGAGACGGTGTAGATCTCCAGTTGGTTGGTTTGTGCCCGGTGAGGCAGGTTATTGGGGACAGATTTTGTTTAGGATGCCTTAGAGAAGGTGAAGTTGATTCAGGAGAGACTTCGTATAGCGCAGTCGCGTTAGAAGAGTTATGCAGACGGGAAGGTTCGAGATGTATCTTACATGGTTGGCGAGAAGGTCATGCTAAAAGTTTCGCCCATGAAGGATGTTATGAGATTTGGAAAGAAAGGGAAGTTGATTCCGCGATTCATTGGGCCTTTTGAGGTACTTAGGAGGATTGGGGAGGTGGCTTACATGCTTGCTTTGCCACCCAGCTTGTCGAGTGTGCATCCGATATTTCATGTTTCTATGCTCCGGAAGTATGTTGGGGACCCATCTCATATTTTGGACTTCAGCATGGTTCAGTTGGATGATGATTTGACCTTTGATGTGGAGCCAGTAGCTATTTTGGGTCGTCAGGTTCGAAAGTTGAGATCAAAGGATATAACTTCAGTGAAGGTACAATAGAGAGGTCAACCCGTGGAGAAGGCTACCAGCGAGACCGAGTGGGAGATGCGGAGCAGATATCCTCACCTGTTTGAGGCTTCAGGTATGTTTCTTGACTCGTTCGAGGACGAGTGTTTGTTTAAGTTGGGGAGGATGTGACGACCCGACCCGTCGTCTCATGAGTTACCGCTCCGTTTTCCCCATTTTCAACTTCTTTATGCTTCATTATCTGTAATTGGTGTGATTGAGTCGATTTGGATTGGTTTTGGTAGGAAATGAGACACTTAGTCTCTTTAAGGATGACTTAGTTTAGAAAAGTCAACCGGATGTTGACTTATGAGTTAGAGGGATCGTATGTGATTTTCGGTGATTCGGTTAGCTTCGGGGGATGATTTGTGACTTAGGAGCGTGATCGAAAATGGTTTTGGAGGTCCGGTGTAGAAATTAGCTTGTTTTGGCGAAGTTAGTATTTTGGCGATTTCCGGTTGGTAGGTGAGATTTTGATCTGAGGGTTGGAACGGAATTTCGAGAGTTGCAGTAGCTTCGTTAGGTGATTTGGGATGTGTGTGTAAAATTTCAGGTCGTTCGGAGGTGATTTGGTCGGATTTTTGATCGAATGTGTGTTTCGGAAGTGTTAGAAAAACTTAGGCTTGAATTCGATGTGAATTGACGGTTTTGGTGTTGTTCGAGGTGATTTGATGATTTGAACGAGTTTATATGATGATTTAAGATGCCTTGGTGCGTTTGGTTGAGGTCCCGGGGGCCTCGAGATGGTTTCGGATGGCTAACAGGAAGAGTTTGGACTTGTGTTGTTGCAGATTTTCTGGTGCTTTAGGTATTTTCGCACCTGCGATTTGGGGGCCGAGGTGCGGTGTCGCAGATGCGGGTTGGGGGTCGCAGAAGCGGAAAAGGCAAGGATTGGCTGGGACCGCAGATGCGGATAGGGAGCCGCACACGCGGAGCCGCAGATGCGGCCAGGCGGGACTTACTGAGGTTCTGCAGATGCAGAGTTTCAACCGCAGAAGCGGCTATTTGTCCGCAGATGCGGTTATGGCTGGGCAGAAGGTATTTAAGTTCTTCTTCGCGAATTTTGAAGGGTTTCTCATTTCTAACTTCGGACTTGGAGAATTTTGGACGATTTTGAAGAGGGATTTCAAGGAGCTTTGAGAAGGTAATGATTTTTGGACCTAAAACACAATCCTATGGTGTTATTACATGAATTAAGACTGGAAATTTAAGAAAATCATGGACTATAAATGGAGGTTAGGCTTGAACTTAAGAGAGCTAAGATTAGGAATTTGAGGGGTCAATTGGACTTCGATTCTTGTGGTTTTTATATGTATGAACTCGTAGCGAGATAAGGAATCTAATGATGTAAAAATTTCTGAGTTTCGAGAAGTAGGCCTGGGGCTCGGGTTTTGCCAATTTCGGAATTTTTGATATTTTTCGATTGTTTTTGATTGGGTATTGTTCCTTTAGCCTATTGTGACGTATTCGTTATGGTTTTGGTCAGATTCGACGCGCGAGGAAGCGGATTTGAGAGGCAAGGGCATAGCGAACTAGAGTTTTGCCGGCTTGAGGTGAATAATGATTGTAAATGATGTCCTGAGGGTTTGAAACCCCGGATTGCACATCGTAGTGCTATATTGAGGCAAGATACGCGCTGGATGATGACCGTGGGGTCTTTTACTACTGGGGATTGTGACTTGGTCCATCCCGATTGATGATTTTACCGCGTATTTGACTGAAATTCATTTGTTATCATCACGATTTGGGCTGATTGCCATATTTGGGCTTCGTGCCAACTATTTGAACCCTTCTGAAATTTTTATCATTGTTTCCTCACTGCTTGACTTATTATTTGAACTCAGTCCTGTTGATATCTACTGTTTTATAAACTCAGCCACTTTTACTCAGATTTGAAACTTAAAATGATATTTCTACATCATGTTTTGGGTTGAGAACTACTGTTTTACTAATGCCCAAGGGTCTTGTGATGATTTTTGGACTGAGTGAGGCCGAGGGCCATATGTGAGGATATGCTGAGTGATATGAGGCCGAGGGCCTAAGATACTTTATATGCCACGAGGTGGCTTGAGTGATGTGAGGCCGAGTGATGATGCCACGAGGTGGCTTGATATAGCGCTTGGGCCGTAAGAGGCCCCTCTAGAGTCTGCACACCCACAGTGAGCGCGGCTACCCATTATGATCTGAGAGTGAGCCCGAGGGGCTGATACTGTTCTAAGTGATTGATATTGAGCCCGAGGGGCTGATACTGTACTGAGAGTGAGCCCGAGGGGCTGATACTATTCTGAGCGATTGATACTGTTCTCGAGGGGCGAATTTTCTACTTGTTATTTACCTATTAAATTACCTGTTTTACTTGTTTTAAAAAGGAATATCATTTGATTTCTTCACTGATTTACTGCTTTAAGTAATTTTACTGCTTGATATGGAATTGCTTTGTGCCTTTACATGTTTTCATACTTTCAGCCATTATTTATAATTATTATTCACTGAGTTGGAGTACTCACATTACTCCCTGCATCATGTGTGCAGATTCAGGCATCGTAGAGTCCGCTCCTGCGTGCTGATTCTCCCAGTTCAGGCAGTGATTCGGAGACTACGAGGTAGTTGTTGGCGTTTGCAACCCCGTGCCTCCCTTATCTTATCATTTTCATATTTTTAGAACTATTGTATCGGAATTAGTGTTCAGTAGACTTATATCCGGATTTCTTAGTTTCTCATGACTTGTGACACCCCGGTTTGGGCTGTGTCAGGATGGTTTCCCTTTTGTTATTATCGTTGTTTTCCGCAATTATGGCTATATTAATCATGTTTTAGACTTGTTATGTTAATTAATTGTTAAAAGAGGTGTTTTGTTTGTTTTGGCTGGCCTTGCCTTCACGAGAGGCGCCATCACGATCGGGTTCGGGAATTGGATCGTGACATAAACCTCTTCTTCTCTTTCTTATTCTCCTCCTTCTGCTATTTCTTCTACCACTATACTTTGTCTGTGTTCATAAATTTTTAGTTGTTGTTCTCTCTCTCGTGCAATTAAGTAGTCTCACTTCATGCACAAACCTAGCTGTATGGTTTTTTCAGATAATCTTGATCTTTTCTTCACTTTGCCTTGATAGTCTTGTCACTATAGTTCTTTTTACCACTTCTTTTTTGGATTTTTGTTGATGCATAGTTCTTTAGTTACCTCGCCAGTTCTGTTATTGTTGTCACACCTCCTTTTTCCGTACCCGAGAGGGTACAAGGGAGTTTTTTCCAATTAAAGGA